AGACGGGGAGGGAAATGGGAGGCGGGGAGCAGGCAGAAATTTTTTTTCAATAAAAAATTATATTTAAAAAAAAAAGAAAGAAAGAAAGAGTCTCCTCACTGTCCTTAGGTAGGAGCTGAGAGATTTTGCTCCCCCCTAACTGTGTTATTGTCCCTGGCCTCCAGATCTTGCTGTCTTGTTTATCTCCAGTGTTCTGCCATGCTGGCGCAGTTCAAGATGCAGCTCTCCTCCTACTGCTCCATGGCATCTACACAGACACCCTGCTCCCTTTCTGAAGTATTTTGGAGTGTTAGATTAGAAAACCCACTCACACTTATATGTGTCAAGCACTTTAGAAATAATGGGGAAATATTAAAATATATAACTAAGAAAATTATACCATCCATATGCATTTTGAAAATGAAGCCAAAAGAAACTTATTGCATAATAAAATATTAGATATGAATGGAAATTTAAGCACTACAAAAGTAAGTCACAAAAATTAACTTTACCTCAAATTATTTATATCGTACATCCTGCATGCCCCAGGCTCACCACATTTCAGAGTTCCCCAATGTATACAGGTTTGGTCTACTAATGCGCCAAAATAAATAGGTGCCGGAATGCCAGCTGCAAGGAAAAGAAAAAATCCCGTTGCAAGGATGAGAGAAAAGAGAGATAAGTGTTGTTTTGTTTGGAAGTACTTCAATTTATCTATTAAATAAAAAAATAACAAAATAAGAATCAATGGCTCTGTACTTTCAGAAATTATAAGTTAATGCAGTTTCTAGATCACAACAAATAAAACTATATGAAAGATGCTAATAAAGTATTCATTGTATTCATAACCATGGACCTCATGTATTTTCTTTCATGACCTTTGTTGGTTTTTTTTTTACACATTTAACTACCAAAACCATTTCCTTCTCATTTTATTCTTGAATATACTGAGAAATGAAAGGTGTAATTAAGTTCAGGTATACTCTTTAAAGATAAGGGGAAACATTTATCACCTCTGGAGTTACCCCATTCTCAGACTTAACACAAGTTGTCATTTCCAAAGGCAAGGGTTTGTGAAATGGAGTTCAGGGTCATGTGGACAGAGTATATGTATGTTAAAGAAGTCACAGAGTTGTTGAAATTCCCTGGATGTGGACAGTTGGAATAGTGTATAACCAGAGTCAAATTGTCTTTACCTCTCATATTGATCATCCATTATCTTATATCCATGCATCTATCACATGAAGTTTTTGTGGATGTACTGACTTGACAGGATGCTATCCTCCACTCACCCAAACACTAAGGATGCCATCAGATAGCATCTGAGCCTACAGCAGAGAATTCCCTGCTTTGTGGTCACCAACCTACTTCACGTACCCACAGAAATATTTGAGAAGTGCCTTATACGTGACTTCCTTTCTTCTATAACTACAAACATCACTAACTGCCACCATGTTAGAACCTGATACTTGGATGATTTGCGTCTGTGTTCCCATTATGATGACTCATGCTTGATTCCATAACAAACCCTGTTATTCCCTTTAAGTTGGGGGTTGTAGATTGACAAGATAGTTGCTATCTTTTTATTCAGAGAAAATTAATTAGTTTATTAAGTACTTAGTATGGTATTGGTGTGATGTGTTATGGAAATTGTTCATACCAAATGTTCTTGTGCAAAATGCATGTAATCCAACTCCAAGTGACTTCTCTTCAGGCTTGACACACCTGAAAAGTTCACACACACATGAATAAAAGAACATCATGCAAACCCTGGCTGTTCTAGTATTTTCCTAATGACAACGGTAGTCACAATGGTTAAGCTTTCCATCCTGAAGTGATAATACAGCTCTACTTATGAATATGAGAAAGGAGAATACGAGTTCTGAAAGCTGTCCTATAATCTGCACACATCTAAAGCACGGTGGAGACCATTAAATGCTTAGACATGGACTGCTAACCTAGATGGAGAAATCCTTGATTACCATGGTGACCACCGAGCTGTACTATCATAATTAACACAAACCTTTGAAAACACAAATCAAAAAAAAATCTTTTGTTGTTTGCCAAGTATTATGTCATGTTGATAAAAAAGCTAGTATGTTATATAAAATTCAAAATATATGAAATGCAGATAAACAGAGAAAGAATCTATCATGTAGACTATGACATTAAAAAATGCTAATGTTCCATAGAGATAACAACTTTGAATGTTTGTCTTTCCTTGTGCCACCTACAAAAATAGACGTAAGATGATTTTGAGATTTACATACAAAGGGAAAGCTTATGAAGAAGTCATGATAAAATCTGAAAAATATTAGATTTTTTTAGGAAGGAATTGAAGGGAAGCCCCTTTAAAATTTGCTGTTTCCCCACCAAATACACCCGTGAGTAAGAAAAGTTTAACAATTGTTGTTGAGATTTCATTTTGGAAGTGATCCCATGAAAGAGTTCAAGAAAACTTAGAGATTTCATTTTTGGAAGTGATTCCATGAAAGAGTTCAAGAAAACATAACAGACTAGAAGAGTAATAACAGCATGCAAACAGTAGTAGTATTGTATCATCAATCATTTAAATTGCAATCATCAAATTCAGCAAGAAAGAACAAAAAACTATGAGAATAATAATTTGAATAGACCTTATTTCTATTACATCAAGAAATGGCACAGTAGGTTGTAAGATAGCTCAGTGGGTAAACTTGCTTGCCAACAAGCTAGACAAAATTAGTTCAATACATAGAACCCACATGGTAGCAAGAGAACCAACTCCTACAAGATGTCCTCTCATTTCAACATGCAAACACACATGTGAATGAACAATCACACATATCACACAGAGAGACACAAAACATTTTTTTTAAAAAATCACACATTAAAACATCAATAATCCACATTTTCTATACCCAGTTATAGAGTCAACCTCATAGAGTAAGACAACTGAGAAAGACAGTGAAACATGACAATTGGAACAGGCATGTAGTAAACAGGAGAGCATCTCTTGAGAGTGCTTGGAGATTTTAATAGGAGTGTATAACTGCTTACATGACCTTAATATTTGACTATCCTGCTCTATGAGGAAAACTTCTCCTTATTAAAAGAGTATGCTTCTTTGAAACACAGCCACCTGGAGTAGTGAGGAGAAAGGAGGCACCATGTAGCCACATCAGCTGAATCAGCCTAGCACATGATGGAGTGACAGATGACACAACCAGTTTTCCACAGTTGTAAGAACTAGCAATACCAAATACCCTTATCTGTCTGTGAACCTATGAACAAGGCATATACCATATCTCCATTGTGTGGATATAAGAATATAACATCTTACCACAGAAAGCTAATATATAAGGTCATATATCTAGCCCACTCCAGTGAGTGGCTATGATGGGTAGAAGCAGGGGAAAGAAAGAACCAATGGAAGGGAAAGGAAAAACCAAGGGTGGAAAGAAGGAAAGGAAAGGGGCATAGAGAGGAGAGGAAAGGAGAGGAGAGGACAGGACAGGAGAGGACAGGAGAGGACAGGAGAGGAGGGGAGGAAAGAGGGGAGGGGAGAAAGAGGGGGGAGAAGACAGAGGAGGGGAGGGGAGATGACAGGGAAGAGGAGGGGATAAGAGAGGAGAGGATGGAAGAAGAGAGAAGAGGAGAGAAAGGGAGAAGACAGAGGACATACTAGCAGAGAAGAGGAGAGGAGGGGAGAAGAGAGGAGAGCAGAAGAGAGAGGAGGAGAGGAGAGGAGGGGAGAG